TTCCACCTTGTCTACCTCTTCCTTCCACCGGGTAAGGAACTGAGTGAGGTTCTCAGACTCCCTCTGCCCGGCTGTACTAAGATAGGTGAACTTCTTCCTCTTAGTACAATTCTCCTGGAACTTGGCCTTGAATTTTGAGGCCAAATCACTGAACGAGTCAATGCTTCCCGGGCGAAGCTTATTGAACCATTCAGTGGCTTGGTTCCGCAAGGTTTGGAAGAAAAGTAGGCAATTTTCTTCATCGGTGCAACCGTTCATGGTCGCACTCTGGTTGAAGGAGTCCAGGTGGACTTCCGGATCTTCCTTCCCGTTGAATCTGGGGGCGTCGATCTTGACCTTTCGCGGGAAAGGTGTCAGATGGACCCTTGTGGTGAACGGGGACCCTGCCAGGGGTTTGTCCCGGTCATTCTTCTCCCCGACCTTCTTTTCCAGCCTTTCCAGCTTTGCCTCCATCTGCTGGACGCGGTCGTTTGGGATGGTTAACCGGTTCACCACCGGTAACCTGGGCTGGCTTTCTACCTCCCCTTCCTGGTGGGTGGCCCTCGTCCTCGCTGGCTTCTGCCGGTTAGACCGGGAGCGCCGGGTGCGGGCAGGCTCGGCCTCCCGCATCTCGCCTAGCCGGGCGAATGCGCTGACGTGGGCAACACTCTGCCCCAGCCTCTGCTTGGCTGACTTCCTCTGGCCTTCCTCCCTATCCCCCAGCCTTTCGAAGGCGGAGTTTCGGGAGGTCGCTGGCCGGATGTTTTTTCCTTTCTTCTTCTTGTGGGCCCTCGGGATGTCCCACTCGCCGTCATCGCTCTCAATCGAGACGCAGTGACCATCAGGAGTGATCTGCGGATCTGTAGCTTGCGGGGGACGCGACGGCCCTGCAGCGTTAAGTGCACCGGCCAAGTTGACAGGGGCCATGGTGCTGACCAGCTAGGGCTGGAAAGGTGATGGTTGCGGCATCGGCGTCTGGAACGACGTCACCGCCATCGGAGCTTGTAGAGGCATGGTCCCCGCGCCTGGAAGGGCGAATGGGAACATACC